AGTATATATGCTATAATAAAGAAGTAATGGTTTTATCTTGGTCAATACTATTGTAAACAGGGTATGAGAAAGTAAGACCAAGATTAGTAATAACTTGGTTATGATGATTAGTTAAAAGATTGAAAAGGATATTAATAATAGATAAAGAAAGTGCCAAATAAGAAAGTAAATATTTAAAAAGAGTAAAGTTGACAGAGTCATATGCTTTACTCATATCTTGTGAAAGTAATCAAATGTCCTTGTGATTACAAGTAACATCTTCAATAAGATTATTGAGAATGTGAATAGGGATTGAAGTGCTATTGTTAGAAAGTGCAATATAATTAAAAGGTAAGAGAATAGAATTAAAAGTAAATATAGTGTTTAGTCTGTTTGTAAAAATTTTGGTATATAGTTTGCAAATATGGTTAACAAGACTAATAGGTCAAGTAAGATTAAGGTTACTATCAAAAGAGTTACATTTGGAAATAGAATAAATTTTGCTATGTTTTCATTACTTAAAGATTCTGTTTTCAAGAAGGCAATGGTTAAAGAGACTAATAATAACAGAAGTGCATTTAGAGCTAATATGTTTAAATATTTTATAACTAATTCCTGTAGAACTATAGGTTTTGTTATTAGGAAGCTGAGTGAGCATTTGAGAAAATTCTTCATTTGTAATAGAAGAGTTCAAAGATTGGTATTAGGTTGAATTGATATGAGGCAATTGGAGATAGTGTTGTTGCCAAAAGATATTAAAAAGAGTTTCATTAATAGATCTAAATCATGTTTAGTCATAAAAATATAATTGAACATGCTGTTTAATGACTAGTAGATTAGTTATAAGCTTATTAGACAGTTTTATATTAGAGAAATGAACAGGTTAATGGTAACAGTTAAGAATGCTGTTAATAGCTTGAGTAGAATGTGTTGTAAGGGTAACACATCTTTTGTTAGTAGCTTTATTAATTTGTTGTCAAAGTAAAAGAGAGTTTTCAAGATGACAAGCATGAAAGAGTTATTTTTAAATAAAATAAGCATATTGAAGCTATGGTTAAGTACAAGATGGGTTGGTGGAGTTAAGTGGTTGAAGGTCATATTAAGACTATTTGTTAATGTAAGAGATGTTTTGATTGATTTAATGTAATTTTATAATCTTTTAATATGTTAAAAAATCTATTAAAATATTTATTTTATTATGATTTCTATTTAATAATTCAAAGTTAATTAATATTTCTTAAAGAGTTCAATTGTTATCTATATAATAAGTTGTAGCAGAAATAAAGATCTTGTTAGGTGATGTTTAAAGGTCTAATATACAAAAAATTCTAGAATTTATAATAAAAAAATATGTCTATAGTACTGTAAATATTAGTAAATAATAAATATATATATAAAATATAAATAAAATAAAATAGCTTCAATCAAATAAAAATAATAAATAAATTATTTTAAATAAATAACTTCAGTTAAATAAAATAATAAATAAATAATTCAAATAAATAAATAAATAATAACAATAAATAAATAATTTAATAAAAAAAAACTTTAATTAGATATATAAACTTATACAATAAGCTTTTTAATTAAATTTAATATAACAAATTGATACAGTTAATTTTCTTTATAGTTACCTTTTATATAATTACATTCTTCTTATAAGCACTATTTTTTAAAAAATTATTGGTAATATATTTATTAAAAAACTTTATATAATTGCATTATTATTAAAATTTTATAATTATATCATTTTTATGTAAAACAAATAGTATAATTATAAAGAAAAATAATTGTACATTATACTGTATAATATAAAAATATAAATATTAATATTTAATAAAATATTTCATTAGCACTTTAGGTTTTCAAGATTAAATTAAAATAAATTAAAATTAAATTAAAATAAAAATAAAAATAAATTAAAAAAATAAAAAATAAAATAAAAATAGAAAAAAAATCAAATTAAAAAAATAACAATAATAAGCTTGCCTTTAATTTATTTTTTTCTAAATTATAAAATAATATTATTGCTTTTTTAATTATATTAGCTTTAACAACTGTGCTATAGAATTTAAATATTTTATAATTTCAATTAATTTAGAGCTTTTAATTATATTAAATAGGCATTAACAATTATTAATCCAGGTAAAAAACATATTGCAAAGCTTTATTTTATTAATATTAACCAATATTAGGTCTTTAGAATTCTATATTATATTTTTTAAATTAAATTAATAATAATAAATCAATAAAATAAATAAAAAGAAAAGAACTAACTAGGGTTCTAAAGTGCTAAGCATAATATTATTAAAACATAATGCCTAGTATAGGCATTATGTTTTAATAGTATCATGCTTAGCACTTGCAGAACTCTATAACTAACCTTTTTAAACACATTTTTAACAGTATCATATTCAGTTTGTGTCTTTTTTTTCTATTAAATTCTTTTGTTATGTTATACTAAATTTAATATGCACTTTCTATATAGTGCCATAGTGGCCTGATGGTGCCTTTTTTTTTACAAAAAAATTCATCATAATTGCACTTTGATACTGTACATTTAGCTATTTTTTCCTTTTACTATACAATCTTTCAAAAAAATTCTACATCTTATTTCTATTACTTTATTTGCTAGTTGTATTATCATTATTATTACTATAGTCATTACTATAATTATTGTTATAGTTATTGTTATAGGCATTACTAAATAAAAAGAACTGTACTTAAAAATAAAAACATAGTATACAATTAATTAACATTGTAATTTATATATTTTAAAGTACTTTTTTATAAGGCTTGTGTAGCCAATTCTCTTTATGAAAGTAAATAATTCAACTAGTCAAACCTGAAACTTTTGTACTATTTTTTATCAATATCAATTAAATTTATTTGAATCTACTAACTTTTATATAACAATTTATTTTGTAAAAATGTATATGTTAGTAAGCAAATTATGAAATACTAAACTACAAATTTTAAAAATTAAATAGTAAAAACTGTTAAAAGCAATAATTTAATGAGTAGTATAGATTTGAGTATTAGTTTATATAATTTTTTATATATTTAAAAAAGTTCTTGAAATTTAAACAAATATACATATAAAATAATATAAACTAACTATATTTGCATATATTTTTATATTTTTTTGACAGAATAAAAAAAAATATATATATATATAAAGCTTTAAAACTTTTAGAATAACTATCATATTATAAAATAAATTGTGATTTCTGGTTTTAAATTATATTGTATATATGAAAGATTATTTGAAAAATTGTAATATTTAATTCTAGATTACAATTAGTATTTAGAACCAATTTTATTTTTCTTATGTTAAAACCAGTTTTAATTGAATTTAACATATGAAAAATAAAACTGGTTCCAAACACTAATTACAATTTATATGAATAATTATTTGTTTTTATAAATAGATAATGATAATTGATACAAATTTATCAATTAGTTAATAAATAAACAAGATTATAATATGTTTATATACTTCATAAAAAATAAAATATATTTATTCTAAGTTCTAAATTTATTGCAGTTTTAATTTTATTATTTTTTTTTTAAAACTTACATTTAATTGGCTAAGAAACATGTGACAATACATAAATATTGTATAATATTGAATGGTTTTTCTTATTGCATTACTATCATTATAGGAGATATTTGATGTAATTTCTAATTCTATAGAAATAAAATTATTATTAATTAACTAATTTTTTTCTTAATTTAATTCAATTTAAGTTATTTAAATTATCATAATTAATGTTATACTAATTATTATAATTATAAAATATACTTATTGATCTTTTTAATATGCAATACAATATGTTAACTAAATAAGAGAAAAGTGTATAAATTAAAATTCTATTTATATAATAGTAAGAATTATAGATTTATTGTTATTATTATTATAAAATATACTAAATCTTTTTAATATGCAATACAGTATATTAACTAAATAAGAAAAAAGTGTATAAGTTAAAACTCTATTTATATGATAATACAGGTTATAGTTTATTGAACTCAATTTCTAAAAAGTATTCAAAAATTGAGTCTGCTAAACTTTAGACTGCAAATTTTTTTTAAATTTTTTATATTTGAACCCAAACTTGTTTATGAACTTTAAACTAAATTTGGACCAAATTTATTACCATATTTGAGTCTGGTTTGAATTTAAAAATTATGAGTTTGAGTTCAGATTCAGGTTTGAAATTAGTAAAATTTACTATTTGAGTTTAGTTCAAGTTCAAGTTTAACCCAAACTGAACTAAACTTAAACTGAATATAGAAATTCTATATACATCATTTGATCCAATTTCTAATAATTTATTTAAGAGAAATTTACAAATAAGGGCTCAAAATAAAAAAAATTACAAATAAATATAATTTTAAATGCATAATTTAAAGTATTTATTTAAGTATAAAAACTATTTTTTATAATAAGTATTGTGGCAGATTAAAATAAAACTAAATTAAAATAAAATTTTGTATTAGCACAAATAGATAAGTTATTAAATAATACAAATTTTTAGAAATGTGTTTTTTTAGATTTAGGATAATATAATTTATAATAAACAAATATAAGTAAGTTTTAGAAGATTAAATAGAAACTCAAATTTTATTTTAATCTAATTTTATTATAATTTGCATCAATTATTATAGTATAATTTTTATCTGATTTATGAAAGTAGATTATTCTTTTGGGCATTTTTTATAGATAAGTTTTTTAATAGTTTTTAGATATTTTAATTTGCCATCTTTTGAAACTGCATTAAAATTAATAATTTTTTTTGTTTTAGTTATATTCACCTTTATATAATAATTATTATAAAGCATATTTATGCATGTTTTAGAGTTGAGTGTTAATTTTTATCATGTTTTGGGTCATAATTTACTTGAGTCTTTTTTTTAATAAAATTTTTATTTTTATATTTTATTGTCTAGTTTTGATAGTGTTATTACAGGTTACTATGCTATATTACTCTAATATGCTAATATATTATATAAAATTTCTATGCTACAATTGTTCTATCACAAACTACTATTCCCAAAATATTGATTCTGGATCTAAGTTCTTTAAGATTTCTACTTAAACACTTTATATTTATATATGATGACTTTGGCAATACCTTTTAATTAGTTAATTTAAATAGATATAAATATATTATTATAAATATGTATTTAAGATCCATTCTAACAGACTATGATGCAAGAATAAGATTTTTCAAGTAGCTTTTTTATATTACTAGTAACTAATTTATGCATTCTAAAGTAGTATTTACTAATTAGAAGAGCATCACAAAAAATAATGAGTAAAAAAAATTAAAAATAATCTTATTTAGAAGACCATTATTTATTAATAGCTTTTAAATCTTTGATTAAAAATATTAAAAAACATTCAATAAATCTGATCACAAAGAAAATTCCATATAGTCTATTATATAGATTATACCTAAAAATGAAATTTAAAAAATTCTCTAACTTGCATTAATTTAATTGATGTAACCATTGGCCTTTTGATTGAACAATTGTATATTGATATTATTTCCTAAAATGTTTTTTTCAATAACTACTAATGTAGGATTTACATTACACAATGTTTACACATGCAATATTTCATCTAATTATATTATGATATTATTACATAGAGGTATGGTTAACAAATTTGGGAGTACATATAACAGTCACCTTTAATAATACTATTATTTCCAATCTATAATACAAAAATTTAAATGTTAGATTTGTATTATATAACTAATAATTAGTATAATTTGTTATTTAAGTAGCATATAATATCAATAAATTTATTAATATTTTTAGCATTCTTGATATTTGCAATATATTACTATATGAGGTCTTTGCCTTGACAATTAAGTATAAGACATATGATTTATTATGTTTCATAACTTGATTTTCAAGTCAAAACCACTAAATAATGTTAAATTATAAAGATTAACAGTATATATAGTTAACAAACATAAATTTAATTTTAAAAATAAATTTATTTTAATAAATATTAAATTAGCTTTTTTTATAATAAGATCAAACTTAGAGTATAATATATAAAAACTTTTTAGTTTAAATAATTTTTATATAAAGTATACAATATAGTCAACCCTTTCTAAGTATATAATTAAAGTAGTACCATACATTTCAAGAGACTATGTAATTAAGATCTGTTTGTTTATGCTTATTTTATAAGTGATACATATTTTAAATTATTATATAAACTTTTAAAGCTAATATTTTTTTATTATTTTGCATATTAATTTAAGAACTTTGGTAATAAACATAAAAATATATATAAATTGTTCTTAGAATTTAATAATAATAATACTAATGAAGAATAATGTACTTTTTAAGTAAAACTAATATTAATCGAGTAGAAATTTATTGCAATTTGTATTCAAATTAATTGATAAAATAGTTAAAATTTTTTGGTTGACACTAATTACTTTGACTGATAAATGTCAGTGTTAATTTTTCAGTTAAAATTTACTGCGCTGATGCCGTACAATTTGGAAACTTTTCTGTGCGGAAAATAAGAAAATCTACAAGCAACTGTGCGATTTTTTCGTTGCGCGTCCGCACATCTGTTCAAAAGGTGTGTGCAAAATTTGGATTCTGTGTGTTGCGCACAGTCCGCACAATGAAAAATAATTACTGATTAATGTGTTACTAACCTGGAAAGGTGTTTTCGACACCTATTTGCAGCTAATTCAACTGAATTTGATAAGTTTTTATTTTTATAACTAATATTACAAGTTCTCATTTACTCAATGCAAATGAATCATTTGGTTCAATTCTGAATGATTTATCTAAATCTGTAAGCAATTCTTGATATCTATACAGATGCAATATATTGTTCTACGTTGTTTAATTCAAGTATGCTATGCATTATTTGGAATGATTTTAATGATTATTTAAATATAAAATGATTCTTCATATGTTTTCATAAGATCATGCAAGATTAATTAATTGATTTTTATAACTCGGCTGGGTCAAATTTTAGAAAAATTTTTTATATGTTTTAATAATTAAGTGGGGTTTTTTAAAATAATTTTTTAGAAAAAAATTTATAAAAGTTATATATAAAATTAAATAAAAAAGTTACCAGCCGGGTTTATTTAAAAGTTTAATGTCATGAAAAGCAAGATATTAAATTTGTGTGGCCTAATACGAAAAATTTTTCCTCGATTTTAATGAATCATTTAAATCTGCTGGAATTCAAAATATATGTATATGCGATATGTTGCACCACGCGTCCTTAATACAAGTACATTATTCAGATACCATCAAATGATTTTTTTATATTTCTTAACAATCGAAAATTACCTCTCATTGCTTCTGCATCATTCGGTTTCAATGCTGATGATTTGTATAAATCTGAATGTGAATCTTCATCGTTCGGTGAGTTTTCCCACGACATTTTAATGCCTTTGCATTATTTGGGTCGATATTTAATGATACATTTATGTTTAAAAGAGAATGTTCATATATATCTATATAATAGGTTACCCACAACTCCTTAACACATTACATTATTTTTATCGATCGTTAACGATTTTTCAAATCTGCAGCCGATTTTTTCGTTATACTATATGCTTATCCACGTTTTCTCAAAGCATCTGCACTATTTGGTTCGATTTTCAATAACTCCTCGTGTCTTCTTAATTGATAATATATTACTCTACGATTTTTTTTAATGCGGTTGCACCTTTTGGATCAATTTTAATAAATTATTTAAATAATCAAGATATTCCTTATGCTATAAGTTGTTCACTACATCACAATGAGAATGCATTATTTGGTTCACTTCTAATGATTTATTTAGTTTTACAAGTGCTTTTTACACCCGTTCATAATGCGATGAGTTTATTATTATGATAAAACATATTTATAGTCGCCTAAGCCGATATTTTAAAAACCGACTTAGTCTACTTACGATATATAGACTTAAAACACTAATGTATATTCATAAAAGAATATAATAAAATATATTTAAACTGTGAGATGTAAAAATTTGTGCAACATACTTTTGTTATACAACAGTATATCTGTAAGTACGTTGCTACAAACGATAATTAATTTCTTTGTAACATCTTAGAATTATGGTTGATGAATTTAGTTCTAAAAGAAATGATGAGCATGGAGTATGTGCAAATTGCAAGCGATATAACACGTCTCATGGTTGGTGCCAACCATGCGACCCTCAGAAGATAGTACAAGGATGGACAAGTGGAAATAAAGAAATCGATGATTGTATTAAAGAAATTCAACTTAAAGCTACAGAATATGAAGATGTGATCGAGTGGATTCCTTTTAACAGATTAGTTAATATTCAAAAGAATGGTGATGGATTTTTAGCAAC